GGGGAAACAGCAGCACAGAGAGGTGAAGTGACTTGCCCAAGGTCCTATAGAAAGGGAGTGGCAGAGCCAGGAACAGAACATGAGCCTCCTGGGTCCCAGTCCAAGGCCACAGCTACTAGGCCCTGCTGCCTCTCTAGAGGCCTGATTGCCAGTGAGAAGAGGGACATTGACAGCATCTTTCAGCTGTAAAACCTGGCCCCAACAGGGAGAAATCCTGCATCTGTGCAGACACCCATTGACCAGTGGGGCTCTGCAGGCACACGGGGATGTACCACAGAATTGGGGCTCCAAGGTGTTTCTGACAGACCACAGAGCAGCCCTGTTCAAGAGAAGTAACACCCAAAGATTTTCAAGCGGGATAAAGGTCCCCCTCTCCCCCACACAGACACCTCACAAAAATGGAGTAAGATATTCCTCAAACTTTGCACACAAAAAAAGGAGTCTTAATTCCCTTTGGGAAGAAAAAGGCTAGTAAATTCTGCCCAGAAAGGCATTTAGGAAAGTGAGATGAAGAGGGTTAGGATGGGAACTGCTGAGCAACTAACTGCAGTGGTTGGGAACTCCGCAATATAGGGTAATTACATGTGAAGTTGCCAAATCCTGCTTGGACTTCTCTGCTTGCACCCCAGTCCAGCAGTTACGAATTGACCAGTCATCCAAGCACCTCATTTGGAACCGGAAGTATGCAATCAGGCAGCAGCAGAAAGAAAACAAAAAATACAGTACAGTGCGGTGTTAAATGTAAACTACTAAAAGAAAGTGAAGAGAAAGCCGCATTTTTATTCTGCATAGCAAAGTTTCAAAGCTGTATTAAGTCAATGTCAGTTGTAAACTTTTGAAAGAACAACCATAACGTTTTGTTCAGAGTTAGGAATATTTCAGAGTTACAAACAACCTTCATTTCCGAGATGTTCGTAACTGAGGTTCTACTGTAGTTTAAACCTACAAGTGACCCGTGCCCCATGCTGCAGAGGAAGGCAAAAAACTCCCAGGGTTTCTGCCATTCTGATCTTGGGGGGTGGGGGTGGGGGAGGAGAATTCCTTCCTGACCCCAAACAGGGCCATCAATTAGACCCTGAGCATGTAGGCTAGACCCACCAGGCAGACACATGGGAAAGAATTCTCTGTAGTGTCCCATCACCGACCGTTGGTGTTCCCACAGCTGGTCTAGGCCCAGAAGATATTGCTAGGTTATCTTTTCAAATATTAGAGCAAACAAGTCCTCTACCTAAGCCAGGAAGAGGGGGAAAGTCTTTACCCTCCCCATGATTTCTAAGGTCATTTATTTTAAAAAATTCAACTTTTCTTTGCAAGTAAAGCAGCACAAAAAGGGGACACAAACCTAGGGCCCTTAAAGACCCATCCTGAGGCACAAAAAGGGTGTGTTTGGAATTTCCCACTGTTATAATCCTTGAGTCTGCTACTGTATTGCCTAGGGTTACCATATTTTGAGCCTCCAAAAGGAGAGCACTCCACAGGGCCCCGGCCCCGCCCCCAGCCCCACCCACGCCCCACCTCCGCCCCTTCCCCAAAGTCCCCGCCCCAACTCCGCCCCCTCTCCTGCTTCCCGCGAACATTTGATTCGCGGGAAGCCTGAAGCAGGTAAGGGGGGTGTGGGGGGAGGAGGCGTGGCCCAGTCTGCCCCCCCCCCCCGGTGTCTCCAGCCTGGGTCGGCTCGGGCCCTGGGGTGCCGGCCCCGCCGGCACCCAGCCCAGCCCCGCCGGTCCCGATTTTCCCGGAAATGTCCGGCTTTTTGGGATTTCCCCCCGGACGGGGATTTGGAGCCCAAAAAGCCGGACATGTCCGGGAAAATCCGGACGTATGGTAACCCTAGTATTGCCACATTAACACCTGTTAGCACTAACAAAGCGTTTTGCTTTACAGAAGGAGTTCAAACAGCCCTTTATACGCAATTTGCAATCAGCTCTGCAGTTCACTGCTAACTGAAATTACCAAGGGCCTCAGCCACTGTTCAAGGCTCAGAACGGCTCCCTGACACACCTACTAAATCGAATAGACCCAGCCATGGAGCAGCGTATAGTCTCCCTTAGTGCTTTATTGGCTCTGCTCATCCTCACGGCAAAGTTCCTGGGCAGTGCTCAGGTGCTGCTGAGGGCTAGCGTACATACAGGGAGAAAAAACCTAACGTGGTCATTATTGAGAGAGTTGATCTCTTAGGGGAAGTTATAGAAATATCTGCAATAACTGAGGGCCTTATTCTGGCCAGGAGCAGCACAATCTACCATGATGTGTCCGTAACTAAAGAGGGGCCCAAGGTTTGCAGCACTAAAGGAGTAGCAAGATTGTCAGCCAAACATGCACACAACCCTTCAATATACTCCACAAAAAGATCGATTTTTAGTTACCACTGATCTTTTTTTTTCCAGGGGTAGGAAACATATTGAGACCATCTGATGCTTTGGCTCTCATTTCTCTCTGGAGTCCTGCAAGGTGTTATCTTGGCTAGAGCCCAAGCGGAGATTCAACAAGAGAGGTCTCACATGCGCACCACAGGCCCAGTTCTAATTACACCCCGGAAAGCCCGGGTTTGTACACAGATATCTTGTTAAGTGACAACAGTGAAGGAGAGAAATTCCAGCTACGTAGGAAGGTTCCAGAACATTTTTTCCTTCTGCTATTGTAGGAGGAGGTAAAATGAAGGACTAAAAAGGACTTACAATTCAAGATTTTCTCCCCACACTCAGACAGCACCTCCTTAGCATGAGCTCTCATTACCATCACTAGTGAGGCGAGAGCAGAAGTTCAGATGCCACTCAGGGTACGTCTTCACTACCAGCCGTATTGGCGGGTAGCAATCGATTGATCCGGGATCGATATATCGCGTCTTAACGAGATGTGATATATTGATCCCCGAATGCGCTCACCGTCGACTCCAGAACTCCACCAGAGCGAGCGGCGGTAGCGCAGTCGATGGGGGAGCCGCGGTCGTCGATCCCGCGCCGTGTGGACCCCAGGTAATTCGATCCAAGATACTTTGACTTCAGCTACACTATTCACATAGCTGAAGTTGCGTATCTTAGGCCTGGTCCCCACTAAGTCCCCACTTCGGACTAAGGTACGCAAATTCAGCTACGTTAATAACGTAGCTGAATTCGAAGTACCTTAGTCCGAACTTACCGCGGTCCAGACGTGGCAGGAAGGCTCCCCCGTCGATGCCGCGTACTCCTCTCGGCGAACTGGAGTACCGGCGCCGACTGCGAGCACTTCCGGGATCGATCCGGGATCGATTTATCGCGTCTTAACCAGACGCGATAAATCGATCCCAGAACATCGATTGCCTGCCGCCAGACCCTCCGGTAAGTGAAGACAAGGCCTGAGATCGATCCTCCCCCCCCACCCCCCAGTGTAGACCAGCCCTCAGTTTCCACTAGGAACTGCATTCTGGCTCTTCACTCACATTAAGTTGTACCTTTACTTTGTCCCTGCAATCTACCTGGGGCTGTTTGCAATCTGGGGGAAATGGTACAGCTCAGTGCGATTAAAAGGTGGCAGAATTAGATCTTCAGATCTTATCTGAAATACTGAATCAAAATCTTACTCTCATTGTAAGAAGCTAGAATGAGCATTAGGAGGCTGTGGGGCTGGAGACTGGGACCTGGACTGGGGCTCAGGAGACCTGGGTGCTATTCCAGGCTCTGCCACTTGGGCTACTGGGTGACCCTGGGAAAGTCACTGCCCTGCCCCATGCCTCAGTTTCCTCATCTGTGAAATGGGGGATAAGAAGACTAACTTCTCCTTTGTAAAGTGCTTTGAGATCTACAAAGAGGCCAACACCACTTAGCTCTTATATGAATTACCACCCCACAACTCTAGATAAGGTCTTTCTGATAAGCATACCATCTACTACGTCTCAAACACACACCTCTCTCTAACAGGCTGATGACAACAGTGGGTATTTAAGAAGAGCTGTAACTCATTAACAAGTTGGCATGGATAGAATAATTCTTTTATGTTTACAGAACAAATATGTTTCCAGACGCCTATCAGGTGAAGCCTTGATATCAAAGTCAGGATTATGCTCAAGCCCAATCACTAACAGGGCATAGGGGATTTCTGAGCAGGCTGCTGCCCCGAGATCTCAGTAGTGACCTCCCCCCACATCGATCTTTTAGATCAGCTTCCTGATAGCACGTCTGAAGATTTTTTGAGCTCTGGTACATTTATCAATCAGATTTATTCCAGCAGTGCCTTTGGATCAACAGAGCTCAGACCCGCACTGTGCTGCGGAAACAGTAGTGCACACTCCCATCCCCAAAGGGCTGACAGTCTATAAATAAATATTTAGTTCAACTAATCAAGAGCTACCCATGACCACATCCAGCCACTGCACTAGGGGAAGTGCTCCTCATTTAAAAAGGAAGAAGTGGCCCTTTTATGGTGATAGTAAATTTTTCCATTCTGAAGTTTTCTTCCGTCCTGACTGACGGGATGCCAAGTGTAGGTCTCCCCAGAGAAGTTATTAACACGAGGCATTCCAACCCCCATTCGAACTGCAAGCAAACTGACAGAGCTAGAGACAAGATGCAAAGGCCACTTCATTTCTATTGCCGTGAAAATGCATTTATAGAAAGAGTGCCACTCCAGCCCCAGCCCCACCCCCACCCCTTCTCCAGCTCAGGTGCAGGGCACATTCCTCTGCCAAAGAAGTATGCTGGCCTAAGATTTCCCTCACCATGCCTGATCACGTCTTGCATCCTGGAATGTGAACTTGTGCATGTTTCAATGGCTCCTATTAACAGCCACAGTAACAGCTGCTGCCTTTCCCATGTCTGCTGGTAATCACACCTTAAAGTTGCCGCCAGGCCATTCCGTCAGGCCGGACAGGGAAAATGTGGGTGCAGATGAGCTTGTCTCTCTCCAGAGGGAAATGCTGCATGCACCAAATGCTGCGGAAGATTCACCGGCCACCTCTCAAGTGACATTTAAAGTTCCTTGTTCCACTATATCCCCAACAGCCAAGCGCAAAGGATTTTACCCACCTTTTTGGAGATGCACCAGCCCAATCAGAAAAACCCTGCTACTGGCTGATTTCTGGCAGAGATGAGGTTGTCCTGGGCTGCTCTGGAACTGGTCGGTTTTAGACGCAGGAAGGGCTATGTAGTGACAACACCGGCACTTCTTAGCAAAGCCAAAGTCCTGGACACTCGCTCCCAAAAGCAGGCAGACAAGGTTAACATATCCACTGTAGCTATTCTGGGCGCTGGGTTTTAGTGTTTATGTGCAATTATTACTAAACTGGCTGACAATGTACACTTGGAAAGATGTCAGGTTTTCCATTGGAGAACTGCCGACATGTGTTTACAGTACAGTCAGTTAAAGGAGCAGAATACACTGGCAATGGGCTCTGTGAAGATTATATGCCACATGCTCAGTCGCAGCCTGCGGGGAGGGGAAGGCAAGATGCTTCTAGTCTAGCTTACAAGTGCTCTGCTGGCCTGTTGAAGGGTGATGGAGGTGGGCTCTGAAGGCTGCATGTGCCATTTATAATAGAGGCTTGAAGGAAGGGATGTAAAGGAGATCGGTAAAAGATTTCCCTCTGGATCCTGAAACATCAGCCTGCTCCAATTCACCTAGTGTCCACTGCCCAAGATGCACACATCAACAGAAAGGGTTACATTCTAAATACAGTCAAACGGGAAATGCCTCTGGATCAGAAAACGCTCCAGCAAATAGAAAATGAAAGAGCATCCAGACACTCAGTGCCTGTCCCATCACTACTGGATCACAACACCAAGCACCCACCTGGGAGAAGAGACTAACTGGTGAGTGACCCCGGATTGCTAAAGGGCACAGCTCCGACCCGTTACACAGGGTTTAGCTAAGCACTGCCAGAGTCCAGCTGGACTGCCTGGCTAACTGACACATTAAAATGTTTTCTGTGGTGATTCACTTTCACGTCCCGTTCTTTATGAATCTTTCCAAAAGGCAGAATACAAGGAGCTATTAAATTGGTCCCTTAGCTTTCCAAGCCTCCATAGCAATATGAAATATGGGAACAATTACTTCAGCACTCACTGATTTCACACTGCAATTGCTCAGCGGTAATTTCTGAGTCCAAGCAGCTGAAGAGGGCAAAAGGAAAGATTCTGTATACACCTTACATGGACATGTATGCTATAAACTGTAACATGCATCTGCCAGAAGCCGGAGCTGGATCGATCACTCGATAAGTTGCCCTTTTCTGTTCACTCCCTCTGAAGTATCTGGCCACTGTTGGAAGGCAGGATACTGGGCTAGACGGACCATTGCCCTGACCCAGTACGGCCATTCTTATGTGCAGCTAATACTAGAGATCTGCTATGAGAGAAGAAAGTAACACACCCACACTAGCGCATTGTGGCTTTGTTCCCCTCTAGTGGCTGGTCCACATAGATAGGTTTGAGCCAGCTACTGCTTCCAAGCCCAGGGACATGGTCCTTCAGCTCAAATGGTGAAGAATTATGCTTCTAGAGGTAGGTGTTCTGGCCCAGGGTGCCATAACAAAAGCACACAAAACAATGGGATTCTGGGCCATACCAAGGGCTCCTAGACACTACGGAATACAAATAACAGTGCCTCAATTATTTGAAGTTGTTTGTGTGTGTTTGGGAGCCCTTTGTGCAGTCTGTTTCCGTGGCCAGTGCAAGTCTTACCCACCTGCAGAGAAGAGAGACATCTGAAGATGGAAAATGTGGTTGTCAGCAGGACTCAGGGACAGAAGCAGCGAGGTCACTAGGGCCTTGGCTACACTTACCCGCTAGTTTGGCGGCTGGCAATCGAACTTCTGGGTTCGACTTATCGCGTCTAGTCTGGACGTGATAAGTCGAACCCGGAAGTGCTCGCCGTCGACTGCGGTACTCCAGCTCGGCGAGAGGAGTACCGCGGAGTCGACGGGGGAGCCTGCCTGCCGAGTGTGGACCAAGGTAAGTTCGAACTAAGGTACTTCGAACTTCAGCTACGTTATTCACGTAGCTGAAGTTGCGTACCTTAGTTCGAATTAGGGGGGTAGTGTAGACCTGGCCTAAGACCTGCAGACTGAAGTTACATTGCATTTGTTGGGGCGGGGGGGCAGATTGCTGTTTGTTCTGTTGTTAAATAGGCTTGATTGTTGGCTTCCTTTTACAATTCCATTTAGTTAGGTCCAAAAGCAAGACCTTTTTAGCAAAAATATACACTTTGTCCACATCATACAACCCCCTCACCTTCTCCCCCCTCCCCCCCCCCGGGACATTGGTTGATTTTCTGCACCTACAGCCCACAAATGTGAACTGGCCAAAGAGATGACATATCAGAGAGCCAGCTCTGCACTCTTCTGACCCTGTCCTCCCCTGCCCCAGCCCTGCCTTTTGACTGCTCACCGTGAGATACCAGCCTCTGAAATGTGGAGTACCACATCCCACTTGCTGCCCTGTTTCCCACCTCTACACAACCACAGCTCACATGTCGCTGGGTCCACTCAGCTTACAAAAAGCTACTGCTATCATCTATATGACCCTCATTGTAGTCCTGGGAGATGGGGATGCATTAACTGCATTGTGCAGAACAGAATCACGGAAGGTAAGTAGCTTGCGCAAAGATGCAGAGTGAGGAATAGTACCCGTAACTCCTAGCACCGTAACCACAAGCCCGTCCTTCCACTCCACTAGCATGTTGCCCACATGACAAGCCATGACGTTCCTAGTAGGGCTGTCAAGTGATTAAAAAAATTGTGATTAAATCACACTGTTAAACAATATTAGAATACTATTTATTTTTCTACATTTTCAAATATATTGATTTCAATTACAACACAGAATACAAAGTGTAGAGTGCTCACTTCATATTTATTTTTGATTAAATATTTGCACTGTAAAAGAGAAATTGTATTTTTCAATTCACCTCATACAAGTACTGTAGTGCAATCTCTTGATCATGAAAGTTGAACTTACAAATGTAGAATTATGTACAAAAAAAACTGCATTGCATTCAAAAATAAAACAATGTAAAACTTTAGAGCCTGCAAGTCCACTCAGTTTTACTTCTTGTTCAGCCAATTGCTCAGACAAACAAGTTTGTTTACATTTGCAGGAGATAATGCTGCCTCCTTCGTGTTTACAATGTCACCTGAAAGTGAGAACAGTCGTTCACATGGCACTGTTGTAGCAGGTGTCGCAAGCTATTTACATGCCAGATGTGCTAAAGATTCATATGTCCCTTTACGCTTCAACCACCATTCCAAAGGCCATGTTTCCATGGTTATGATGCGCGTTTAAAAAAATACATTTAATTAAATTTCTGACTGAATTCTTTGAGGAAGAATTGTATGTCTTGTGCTCTGTGACTGTAGCCCCATTCTGCCATATATTTCATGTTACAGCAGTCACAGATGACCCAGCACGTTTGTTTTCAGAACACTTTCACTGCGGATTTGACAAAACACAAAGAAAGTACCAATGTGAAATTTCTAAAGATAGCTACTAACTCAACCCAAGGTTTAAGAATCTGAAGTGCCTTCCAAAATCTGAGAGGGATGAGGCGTGGAACATGCTTTCAGAAATCTTAAAAGAGCAACACTCTGATGCAGAAACTACAGAACCTAAACCTCCAAAAAGAAAATCAACCTTCTGCTGGTGGCATCTGACTCAGATGAGGAAAATGAACATGTGTTGGCCCAAACTGCTTTGGATCGTTATCGAGCAGAACCCATCATCAGCATGAATAAGAAGTAGGACTGAGTGGACTTGTAGGCTCTAAAGTTTTACATTGTTTTGTTTTTGAGTGCAGTTATGTAACAAATAATATAAAGTGAGCACTGTACACATTGTATTCTGTGTTGTAATTGGAAATTAATATTAAAAATGTAGAAAAAATCCAAAGATATTTAATAAGTTTCAACTGGTATTCTATTGTTTAACAGTGCGATTAAAACTGATCACAATTAATTTTTTTAATCGCTATTAATTTGAGTTAATCGTGAGAGTTAAAAGCAATTAATCAACAACCCTAGTTTCTACATCATGGGAGTTTGGGACTGGCCAAGACCATCTTAGCCAGCAGCACTGAAGCAGGACACTTGAGGTACGTTGCTGTGGAGCCAACATCTAGCTCCCAAGGGGAGCAAATATTTTGTCTCTCAGTCACTTGCCTAGCAATGACCGAGGAGCATTCACAGGTGTCAACGGGAGTTTCGTCCAGGCCTCTGCTAGGGGCAGAGCAGCTGTGATGCAGAACAAAAAGGAGATATTCTCAAGGACAGTACCATACACACGCTGATCAGGCTTTTCCAAGAAGCTTTAAAGTTCTCTATAAACAGATTTGTGGAGATCTTCCGATTTCAAGGCAGTTTCTCAACAGTGCAGATTTCAAAACAGTCTCTCAGCAGGCTGTCCACACCCATATCCTGATCAGCAGTGGAAATTTTAAAACAAATTTAGGAAGGTGGCTGGATTGGATGGACCAGTCCCATTGCAGGAACTCACCACACGGCAGGACTAGACAGGTGAAAAATAAATAGGTGAGACATCCACAATATCACTCAGGTCTGGGGATCTTCACCCAAGGATTCAAGGGTGAGTCGGGCCTTATCTGCACAAGAAAGCGGCACCAGTCTAACTACAGGTGAGATTAACCAATTGAGCTCAACTGGTGCAAACGCATCGATACTTATTTTGGTTTAAGTCAAGTTTATTTCAAGTTAGCTTAAAATCGATTAAGCAGAGGTTTAAGCTACACCGGAACAAGCAGGTCCACACAAGGGTTTGTACTGGTTTATAACGAAACCAGTCAAAGTCAGGTAAGCACATGTGTCAATAAGGCCTAAAGTTTTTCAAAAGCCTGCACAGAGGGCAAGAGCTTTCCGAGGAGGAGAATGTCAGAACAGAAACCTGACAGACAGTCTCCAACAAGCTTGCAGAGATTTAAGCAGCCCCTTTTTTTAAAGGAACAAACCAAGCTACATACCTGTTTGTATGCCGTTTTCTGCCTGGCCAATCAAACCTGATGCATAGGGTCTGAAGAGCTAGTTAATGCGTATTCATTACAACATGCAAACGCACAGAGAATGTGCAAACACACAGTACGTGCTATTTTCAGTGAGAGATGCGTTTTTGCCTCCACGCCATGCCTGGCCCCTCCAACTGTAGCTGGCAAGGACACTACTTCCTGCAGAGTGGGAAATGGCTGGTAGAGGGACAAGCCTGACAACCAGTGCCAAGAATCCAATTTTGCCATGCGAAGAGGTGGCACCCATCTAAGACTCTGCGTCCAGTCTTTCCCAAGTCCATGGAAATTTTAATACAACTACCCAAGAGTCCCACCATAAGAACATTGCAGCCAGTTTCCTGAACGCCTCAGCAAGAGCCCCTAGCGCAGGACTGAAATAGAATATGCAAGTGTATCTGATCCCAAACCCACTAAAGTTCATAGAAAGAGTCTTATTGACTTTTGTGTGCTTTGGTTCAAGACCTTTCTGAGAGGACCAAGGACCAGTCCCTCAGCTGATTTAAAGCAGGGTAGCTCCACTGACTGCATTAGAGCGAGGACCCACTCACCCCAGCCAGAGGTCTGATCCGTAGTTCCCTCATTGTATGCAGGTGTAATTAGAGTAACCAGACAGCAAATGTGAAAAATCAGGACACAGGGTAGGGAGTAATAGGTGCCTATATAAGACAAAGCCCCAAATATCAGGATTGTCCCTATAAAAAAATCACCCTTGGTGCAACACTCACCCAAGGTACACCACATAGTACTAGATGAGTGAGCAGAGACCCCCTCAGAGAAACAGTGTTGATCACTACCCCTCTCAAGTGTCAACTTTTTTAAAAATAAATAAAACTCCTCCCAGGCCTGGTCTACACTAGGCGTTTATGTCGAAGTTAGCGCCGTTACATCGAATTAACCCTGCACCCGTCCACACCGCGAAGCTATTTAGTTCGACATAGAGGTCTCTTAAATTCGACTTCTGTACTCCTCCCCGACGAGGGGAGTAGCGCTAAATTCGACATGGCCATGTCGAATTAGGCTAAGTGTGGATGGAAATCAACGCTAATAGCTCCGGGAGCTATCCCACAGTGCACCACTTTGTTGACGCTCTGGACAGCAGTCCGAGCTCGGATTCTCTGACCAGCCACACAGGAAAAGCCCTGGGAAAATTTGAATTCCTTTTCCTGTCTGGGCAGTTTGAATCTCATTTCCTGTCTGGACATCGTGGCGAGCTCAGCAGCACTGGCAACGATGCAGAGCTCTCCAGCAGTGATGGCCGTGCAATCTCAGAATAGAAAGAGGGCCCCAGCATGGACTGATCGGGAAGTCTTGAATCTGATTGGTGTGTGGGGCGATGAGTCCGTGCTTTCCGAGGTGCGATCCAAAAGACGGAATGCAAAGATCTACGAGAAGATCTCTAAAGACATGTCAGAGAGGATACAGCCGGGATGCAACGCAGTGCCGCGTGAAAATCAAGGAGCTGAGACAAGGCTACCAGAAGACCAAAGAGGCAAACGGACGCTCCGGATCCCATCCCCAGACATCCCGTTTCTACGAGGCACTGCATTCCATCCTAGGTGCGGCCGCCACCACTACCCCACCACTGACCGTGGACTCTGAGGATGGGATATTGTCCACGGCTGGTTCCTCGGACATGTTAGCGGACGGGGAAGATGAGGAAGGAGATGAGGAGGAGGACGAGGCAGTCGACAGCGCTTACAATGCTGATTTCCCCGACAGCCAGGATCTCTTCATCACCCTTACAGAGATCCCCTACCAACCGTCCCCAGCCGTTAACCCGGACACAGAATCTGGGGAAGGGTCA